GGGCTATGTGTATGCACAGTTTGTTTGAGCACCTGCTTGGAAACACTGCCAGTGACTGTGAGTTTGAAGCCTCTCAGGCCAAGTTTCTGTTAGAAAGCTAGCAAATGGTCTCAGCACACAGTGGGAGGGATGCTCACACACACATGCTATCCATTCCTCACTGGCCACGCCCAAATATTGCGATTATCTTTCACAGCAGGGAACAAATCAACATTGCAATCTCTCATGCCAGCAAATTTGCTGAAATAAATTGTTGTGTTGCTGCTTTAGCTGCCATGCTGTGTGATGGTGCCATAGTTTGGCTGTATATTTTTGTTGTGCGCAATGTGTTTTTTTAGATTTTTCTTTTTAAAACTATCATCTTCACATGCTCATGATTTCAACTGCTAAACCACTTAGGGATTTAGCTAAACCTTAGCTAAATCATTAACAAAGGCCATATGTTAAGTGACTTACAAGTCAGTTAGCAAACATTTGTGAAGCTGCTAGCCACACATGTAACTTTTAACCTAACTAGCATAACTATTATAACTACTTCACAACCCACCGGCACATCTAAGTAGATGTGGTGGAGTTGGTCGTAATGTATGGGCCGTAGCAGGCCACAAACCGTGGCGCTGCAAATATTATATGGGGCGGCGGCGGCGGCATCGGTGTTCCAGGAACAGGGACTGCTCTGCCGGATCAGGGACTGCTCGTCGGCGTTGGGATGCAAGATAACATTGCATGTCATATACATACTATACTTAGCTTTTGCAAAAATGGTCTTCAAAGATTGCACAGCGCGAAGCAGGGTCAAAGGCATGTCTTGCTAACATGCGCTGGAACTAGATGTTCGTATCACAAAAAGAGGGACTGAAATCTGGCAGCATGACCCCAGCACGGTGAATTGCAGCATGGTTCCGGCATCTGTGCGACAAACAGTATCCCAAGTCGTGCAGGAGGTTTAGAATAGAGCCAGGGTCAGGCATGCACAACTCAACCCAATCCTCGTGCCAGCTACCAACACAACGTGATGCTGCTCAGGGAATGCTGCGGGGCCTCAAGCTTGGAACCGCGAAACTTTCGCACTGGTGATTTCCTCGGGAAGGCATCAAATGTGCAAACATCTGCACAGCCTGTCAGTGCTGCGGGTCGTTGCCTCACTGTCAGGCCTTGGAAAGGGTGATGCAGTTGCAGCTTGCAAGCTAACCTGGGGAAAGGCAATCCTGTACGCACTGCCAGTGCTGTGCAAGGACAAGTTAAGTTGTCAGGTTGCTATAGTCTGCGACAGTGGGGACAGGAATTCGAGAATGCTTTAGGCAGTGCCAGGGCTGGGAAAAGAAACGTTGAGGCTTCAGTTCGTTAGTCTGAGACAGTGGGGACATGCGGGGACACTTCCGCCCACCGGCTCTGCCGGAGGAGTGCCTTGTATTTCTACCATTTGTCGGTCGGTGGAAAAACATTAAAGCAAAGACCTTCGTTCAACCGTTCGCAAAACAAAACTTTCGCGAACCTCATCGCGAATCTTTCGCGGATGGTCTTAACAACATCTGAAAGGCTGCTTTATATACAACTCCTTACACGGAGATTTAGATCAACTCCCACATACACAACAGCAAACCCTTCCATCAACAAACCCAAATCCTTAAGTCCACAAACCGAACAAGTTACTCTCTTCAAGCTCCACAAAAGCTCGAGTCTTGCAGAAGCCCTTAAATCCTGTAGTCTTTGGGACTTCCCTCTATGAAGAGGTTTGATTGAGTCTTTGGGGCACCCTCATGAAGAGATTTACTCTTTAGTGAATCTTTGGGGATCCCGCCTCATCAAAAGATTTCTTTGCAATCTCTCCTCATGAAGAGATTGAGTCTTCAAGACATCTCCGGATGAACCTCCGCAAACGATTTTATATATCTTAAACACATCGCGGCCTTGTGACACCCTCCAAAAAGAGAAGCACCTAGGGACCAGGGACCAGCTTTTGGGCTCATCCGTCCCAGCTTTTTCCGCAAGCAAAGCCTATCCGGTACCATAGGTCAAGCCTGGAGTTGCGATCATCAGCCCATTCAATGGACCCATCAAATTCAGTCAAACACTGAAACTGCTTCCCAAGCAACTTGTCATAGCATGTCGTGCTTCTTTTTCTTCCAGAACAGTGACCGAATTTGATCTCCTGGTTTGAGGTCACTGGTACAGCGGACCACTCCGGTCATACATGGATCCCAGAGACCAAAGCCGGTAGCGAAAACCAACAACCAGGACCCGTCCGGCAAGTGTACTACACTTGCGGACACCCATTTTGGATGGTGGAAACGGCGTGGAAACGGAATGCATGTCTTTTGGGACTCTTGGGAGTTTTGGACATGTGACTCTTCTCCCAGCAGGTGCAGCAGGTGATTTCTGCCTGCCGCACCGCAGAGCCATCCAGCTGCAGCCAGAAGGGAGCCTGGAGCCGATCATGGAGCTGAGATGGGCCTGGGAGCTGGTTGTGGCCTTGGATTCTGGATTTCTTCCTTCAGAATCCTTCAGATTCGTTGCTGGGAGATGCTTCCGCACTCCCTGAGGCTTCTTTGTATATAGTAAGTTGGGAGTAGATGGCGCAATCCCCCATCTAGGTGGTTGATATGGACCCCTATATAAAAGACATCTTGGGGTGCCAGTGCCATCTACTCCCGGATCGACGGAAGAAGGTGCGATCAACGACGACAACGAACTGCTTTTGGATGGCCAAGTTGATGGCCAATGGCAGCGACAAACGCAACGAACATGACAAATCCAACTACCAACGCAATGCATCTGGCAGCAACTGCAGGGCCAGCAGGTCTTCATAGCATAGGTCACTTGCTTCAAACAATCCATGAGTTTGAGATGTGTTTTGGAAGTGCTTCGTTACAGTGTTGTCCAATTGGGCGCTCTCCTGGATATCGGCGCGAAGATTCATCGCATGAGCGGATGCCGGACGCCGATATCCAGGACCTCGTACTTCGCTTGAGGTCTTCAGGGACGGAAGATGATTCTGGTTATTCATCCAGGCAACCTTCCCAGACACTCCATGGGACTGCCATATATGCCGATCAGTTGGGGTGGTTTGAGGGGTCAATGTAGGCATATATGACAGTCCCATGGAGTGTCTGGGCTTGTAGCAAGTAGCAAGTGTTACATGGATCTGCGATTGCTCCCAGGCCACTGAACGCTGCTGGTGTTGCCCAATTCGACGGTGACCACCTCATCCACAACTCCCTCAGAACTAAGCGGGATTGATGAGAAACCCCAGACCCCTCCCTCGAAACCACCAGCTTCGGCGGAACATGATTTCGGAAGGACCGGTCTGCCCAGCGGCTTCCGGCCTCCCCAAGCCCCCAGCGGATGGGTGACAGCCGACGGCTTCTTGTTCATGTCCATTCATTTCAAGGTCATTGGTTCCTCAGCTATTGATGTGGAACTTCCCAAGTAATGTAGCCTCTTGATTCAGAACCCACCCTGACATGGATGACAAACCTCTTCATATGGCGTTCTTTTTTACATCATGAATCAAGAGTCTACAAGCTTCCGGGCAAGGTCAGCAAAGTTGGATGGCGTTGCATGGTCTTGGAAAGTTTCCGCAATAGAAACTCCTGACCGGCAAACAATTGGAAACCCACCTCAAGTTTCTTGAGGTGGTTGAGGTGGGTGTCCATTTCTTTTAAGGACTGTGCCAACGCGTGATAGGAAGGTATACTGCTCACCCAGACGTCCCGCGATCGTCTTCTCCGGCGGCGGCGGAGTCGGGCGCGAGCGACTCACCTTGCGGAGGTCGTCGATCTGCGGCAGCAGACGTCGCAAGCCGTGACCAAAGGCACTGATACCCTCGGCACCGCCCAAGGCCTCGAAGGTGCGAGGTGCGAGGTGCTTGGAGTCGATGGTGCGAACGGGCCGAGTCTTTGGTTGAAGTCATATATGGCCTGGTCAAATAGATGGCCTGGTCCAGAACATGTGGTCCAACTAAAGAAAGTTCTTGAATATCGAGATGATGGAGGAAAACATCTTGGCATCTTCGTGCGGACATGCGATCCAAGTAAGTGGTATTGGTCCAGAATGCCAGTGCAAAAAGACACGCATTTGCCAGTGCTTGATCCATTGGACGGCCTAATCAATATTGTTGAAGCATGTTGAATATATCTGCGTCTCCTTAGTGTTGAATGTAGGTTAGAGGTTGACAGGAAGGGTAGGGGTAAGCAAACCCGCACACCACCTATATATAATAAGTTCTGAAATAGCTATCTCATTGGTATATTGGTATTATACTATAGTGGTTGATTTTGTGCACATTTCACCTTTTGAGGATAAAGCCATGTCATGTCATGTGGGTATCATTGTCCGTGATTTTGAGGATACCAACAACCGCAACAACTGCTTATTTTTGTTCAGTCTGGGACCTGCCCAGTATTCACAGTGAACATCTCTGGGGAGAAGGAGTGATCAATTGGATCAATACCTCACCGCCCAAAGAAAATGCCGTGAACATCCCAACGGATCTTGCAGTGGAACAAGGGCATGCAAGGGATTCAGGATGGAATTTCGGGGGTGTACACCTGCCCTTGCATGCTACGAAGAGGCGAATCGCCTCCAATCGCTTCATTTCCTCATTTCACGAGTCATTCCTAGCCTTGATGGCTGGATGCTGGGAACAGTAGCCTCAACCATTGCCACCACTTGCTCTCTGGCTACAGCCAGGCGTCGCGACACGCGTCTAAAGAGAGCGCAAACGTGCGCCGGAAAAAGCTGCTGTCCTTCGCCGTCCTGGAGGTAAATCCCGTTCATGTGGAGATAGGGAGTGGTTCACCCCCAACCAGGTTGAAGAATTCCACCTTCCCCAAAATCCAGGTGAACCGAACTGTCCATCTGTTGAGTGGGATGTCGGCCCAATCCCCACCAAAAACAACACCAAAACCGGAGATCCACCCGTCATCCATCCACGAACGCGGAGGGGTCGGGGGCCCCAAAACGCACGCGCGTTCGACTCAGCCGGCTCCGCTGCCTCCAAGAGAGGCTCGGTGGGTGGCTTCTCGCTGCCCTGCGGGATCACGTATCGCTGTGGTCGCTTCGGCACCAGAGCGAAAACAAGAGGCGAACAAGAGTGGAACCTACTGGGAACAAGGACGCTAGAGGTACTAGGGGCTCGTGGCCTCACTACTAGGAGCAAGAAGCTACGATCGGGGCTCCTGGCATCGCTACGAACGGAGCAACGACGCTACGATCAGGGGTGGAATACAGGTGTTCCTGGGCTGTTGAGTTTTTCAAGGCGCCATGTGTTGGATTTTATATCTGGAGTCGACCTCAACCTCGGCTGTACTTAAGGGATGTTTTTCGTCCACGAACCAGTGCCACTCCTGTTGTCAGCTTCTCGGATGCATGTCCCGTGGCAAAAGCTATCACTCCATGGAAGCCATGCCTTCGGTCAAAACGTTAGAGTTCAGGGGTGGGAGGCTGTTCAGAAGTGTTCTGCAATCATCCGGAAGGCTTTGTTCATCGAGCCAGTTCCGATACTCTTAGCACCAAACGGATACGTCATCGCCGTCAGCGTGGTGAGCACGGGTGGAGGATCAAAAGAAAAATACAAAGAAGGATCAAGAATCAAGAACAACATAAACAAACAAATGCCAAACAGTTGCCCAAAAAAGTTAAAGAAAACCAAACAGGGATCAACAAAAAACACAATTAGCGATGTTGCTCACAAAAAAATACCAGCAGCAGCAGCAGTAGTAACTAGTAGTAGCAGCAGCAGCGGGAGTAGTAGTCGTAGTCGTAGTCGTAGTAGTAGTCGTAGTAGTCGTCGTTTTATGCATTATATATATATATATGTTTTTGTTTATATGTTTATGTATTTCTTTATGTCTTCCTATGTCTTGATTGCTTCCTTCCTTCCTTCCTTCCTTCCTCCTCTTTCTGTTGTTTGATCCCTATTCGTTGTGTTTGTGATGACTACTTTTTGTTCGAATCCCTCTCCTGGACGGGTCGACCGTACGGACGTGAGGACACACCCCATTCTGGTACCCATACACTCGATGGGACTGCCATATTTGCCTACATCGGAGTGGTTTGGGGGGTCAATGTATAGGCATAATATATTGGCATACATGGAGTGTTTTTGGTATAGTGGACGGCTATCACCTTGCAGTGGAGTATATAGTTCCAAGCAAAGAAACGATGGATACACAGCCGTTGATCAGCCAACAAACATGGTGAAAATGCATAGAATCATAGAAGGGTACGTCACATGGTTGTGGGTACGACACAGGCACACGTGCTGTCCGGGCCTTGCCATGCTACCCCATACGCTCCTGGATCCACGGGCCGCTGGTCTCGACAGATTCCGAGCAGCTCGTGTGGGAGCTGCTACCTCTTGGTCTGCCATGTGCGGGGGGGGGGGGGGGTGGGGGGGGGCACGGTTCGACTCATCAAGATCTGCTGCCAACGGAAGTGGCATTGAAAGTGTTCTCATCTAGGGTTCAGAGCACCTTCACAACGCTTCCAGGCCTCCCAGGCCTTTGTGCCTCGCGTGGAAGTGATGAACTCTGCCTCAATGCACTGATTGAAGATGATTTCTTCTCCCCACGCGGCTGTGCAGCGCTGAACTTTCCATGAGTTCACCGCATTTGGGCTTTTGAACAAGATCAAAACTGCTGCAAGCTGCCTCATCCCATGCCGGCCACTGGGGCAAGAAGAAAGATTGCCACTTCGAAGCGCCGCCACGTCCAGCGCTTCGAAGGCACCGGACGTCCCCCAAAACGGGCGAGACCGAGACGCCGCCGGCGACGTAATCACGCCGCAATCGACCAGATGGACCCATGCTGCAGATTCACATGGAGCCCCACTAGGTCCCTAGGTTCCCTATGGATCCACATACCGAACCTCAGGTACGGTGATTGATTGGAGACTATTGATGTAGGCGATCTTGGCGGCTTGGAGGGTCCAGTCGTGCCTTCTGAGGTTCGGTACGTGGATCCGTAGGGGTTGTAAAGGAACATGGGAATTCTCAGGGTCCATAGTTAGTCTGCGGGGGGCAACAAAGCTGCGTGGTCGAGAAGTGCAACACAGCCTCTCATTGCCAGCAGCCTCCTGCCATGCCAGGTCACCAATTGAGACATGTTGAGGTCCGAGAACCTTGTAGAGGAGACCTGTTGGAGGCGCTGGTATTCTTTCTGAGCATACCTCCACAGCCGCTGTGACCGCCTGTGACCGCCCTGTGTGTTTCGTCAATTGATGTCAAGTGTGTTGATGGTTGGCGGACTCAAACTACCAGCCCACTCTGTGAATGTTCCGAGTTTTCAGGGCAACTCGACTCGTGGCGTCCCCGGAAACTCCACTCCCCCACCACGTGGACGTCCCTTTTCGTCCCATGGACCCCCGGCCCAGCCTGTGACTGATCTCTTTGTATCCTGGTGGAGACGACGAGGTCGGTCCGACGACAGTCCGGAGTGGAGACAGGGACAGGTCCAGGAGCATCCCACCGATCGGTGACGGTTTGACCATGAGGTTTGTAGAGAACAAATCGTTGGACGGAAGCCGCCATGCCATGCCATCCATCTTCCATTCGGAGTGCAAAGAATAGAAACACATATACCTGGTCCCTCCAAAATGGGTACCTTGGTACCTTGGTTTTTTGTAGGTGCTATTGTCTACCGTACTTTGGAGGGTCCACATATCTCAGAAGTCTGTCTGTTTTTCTCGGTCCGTCCCTGTCGCGTCCCACCTGTGGGTCCTGTCGAGAAAAGTGGTTGAACTGGGGAAGGTCGAGTCGACCAGTGAACGGTCTACGTAACCTGGACCTGGTTCCAGCTCGCTCCTGTCCAGCACATGTGCTGGATGGGCTTGAAACCACCGGCCAGGTGGCCGTGTCTTATTTATTGAAAGTCAACAGCAAGGGTGACGCATGGGAATGATACCCGTCAGATGCAGCGCCACCCAGTCGGTGCTAGTAGACCTCCTGCGCATTTGGCTTTTCCATCCAATCACTATCCAAACTGGGTGGCGCTGGTTGCAAAGGCTTCAACGCCCAAAACGACGCATGCTCCACCATATTCAGGAGACCCACATTCCGCAGAAGGACACAGAACACAGGAGCCTTGATGGGATGGAAAGTGTTGATCCTTAATGTAGGCTCTTGATCAATCAAATCACCCGGACTGAAGAGGTTTTTCAATCCAAAATGGGAAGGGATACTCATCAAGAGTCTACATGATTCTAGATTCACCCCAGAAGAGCCTGGATTCTACCCCACGCTCGATTGGCAACTCTGAGAAGCGTCTTGCCACAAAAAAAAAGTATATCATGTCTGTGCAACGGATACAAACTGGGTCCGAGTTCCCACCCAATTTGTTTTCCACAATGTCTTGCCCTCCAAATCCAACCAACATAAAAACAACATAATCAGTCTTTCTAGCACATTTGGCAAGCCATTGACGTTGATCAAAGAAAAGGGCTCTGGAGTTATGAACACCACCATACGCACTCGCGCTGAAAGAAATGCTCTGCTGCTCAGCGGCTTTGGCTGTGCTTCAAGGAGTTTCAGCTTCAAATACACCTGGATGGTATCGAATGTTCTTTGTCCAAAAGGAAAGAATATGGGACGAGGAAGCAAACTTATGTGTTTAACGATTGTTTCCTTCATTGTTCGTTTTTCATTGCTTCTTCCTTCCCTTTTGTTTGTCCAAGTCTGTGACTCGACTCCAAAACGCACAAAGCCCCGGATCGACCCATTGACGGATTGACCCGGATCGGAGAGAGACACGACGGGCCATGCGGACCGAAGAATCCAAAGCACCGACTGAACCCCACCGGACCCTTTGTCTTCGGGGGAACCCCGACGGACCGAAGCTTAGAGCATGTGCCGAAGCAAAAAACAGGTCCCAAAACGGTCCTTACTTAGATGGTACTTATTCCCTACACCGACTTCGTCATACCTCCTCAGGTTCGGTATGACTGGACCCGAACATGGCACCCACCCCAAACACCTTGTCAGAAGGTGCTTGGAGGCCTAGGGATTTGTACCAATTTTCCGAGGTAGGAACGGGTCGACTCCAGGGTATAGATCCAATTATATATACTCCAGTGGCTCCAAAATGCTCCAAAGGCTTTTCGGAAGAACCTTCTGAGATCATTCTCAGGTTGGGTGTTTGGGGCCAGTTCCTACCTTCTCAGCGCCTAAGAGAAAGATTCCCCACGGACTTTTCCAGGAGTGGTTCCACCCAAAGATTCCCCAAAAAATGGACTCATGCTGGAATTTGCCAGACTTATAACATCCCCTGTGGAAATACCGGTGAACCTTGAGAATGGATTCTATAGGGTTTATTCGGCCGGGGATCTTATAACATGTTCTAGGCTTTTACACATATTACACTATAATGACGCAAACCACAGGTAAACCTTTCTGTTTTTGTTGGTCGAACCAAAGGCGACCAGGTCTACCGTCACCGTCTGCCGGTCTTCCTCGGACTCCAAGGTGCCACCGTCTGCCCAGAGCCATCGGAGTGCGTCCCGATGAAGTCGATGCAACTGTTTGGCCTGGCGCGCCAGAAGCTCTCCGCCCATCGGGTCGGGTCCAGTGGCCCATGGGGCTTAGGAAAAATACCAAGAGGTCAAGTGATAGTCTATATAGGACCCAAGCTACCTGGGGTACCCAACTGGGATAGTCTATAATAGGGTCCTTCAACCTCTGTTGGTATTTCAATCATACAAACAAAAAAGGGTGTTTTTTACGTCCAAAAATCAGGTCTAATTTGAAGAACAAACACCACCAGGTCATTGATGTTCTTTATGCGGCTCTTTGTAGAGGGAATATTCCCATCGGGGTGCTGGACTACCTCCATTTCGGTGGTTGGGGTGCCAGCGGGCGTCTGTGTCCACCGATTATTTGGGCCAGGCAAATAAAAAATTGGAGGGTACAACAAACAAAAACACACGTATATATGGTGGTAAAATATCTTTGAACAACCTCACCATAAGGTCCAAGTTTCAAGTTCTATTGGTGGTAACAATTAATTGGCAACTGTCGATACATTTAAGATATGTTCAATTATTTTCCAATACTATAGAGGTGTACATACCTGGAGTCGACCGGCTCGTACCTTCGAACATGCTTCCTCGTCCCTCCATCGCCGGGCGGTGTCCCGCCCCTTTCCTCACCTCAACGTGGCCTGTTCGCCCTTCCCCAACTTGGGCCCGGCGATCGCCACGGGGTTCGCGCTGAGATTGGTCACCTGCCGTTTCGATCACAGTTGAGGGACCCGACTTGACCGATCCCCCAGGTACCCGTGTGGTGGTGACTCACGGGTCCTAGTTCAGGTCACGAAAGAACATGTTGTGAGGGACTCGGATGGACGAGAATATCACATTGGTTGTACACACCAGTTACATATTAAAACCCTGTTTGATGATTGGCTGGTGAAGGCCGACGTCTCAAACATGGGTCATGTGTTTTTTTGCCAACTGTTACAAATAAGGGGCACACCTTAGGGATCACTACAAATCCAAACGGATTCTTGTTGGGACCTCCCCGAATCCGAAGTCGCGCCACCTCCTAACCACCAGCATATAGATAAGGAATACGCGGCCATTGCCATTACCAGGGTTCTGCCCTGGACGCGGGTCCGACAAGCCAGCTGCAGGTCCACATTCACTGTTCAAAACCAAGGTACCCACCTTCCAACTAGACCCCGGGGGTTTTATAATAGTTATATGTGGATATAACACATATCATCAAGGCCTTATCAAAGGCTAAACAGTTATGTTATAGTTATAATTTAACCTTTAAAAAAAAAGAAAAACATGAACCAAAATCATCGAACCGTCTAGCCCATCCATCCTGGCCATCGTCGAAAACAGATGAGCTTTAGGAGTTTTAGGCCCACAGGGTGTTCAAGAGTTCTGCGCTGTCCGACTCTTGCACACAACCGCTGATCAACGAGTCGACTCGAAGCCGGGGGGCAGAAACACCCGGTTTTTGTTCAACTCAAAATGTTTAAGGTACGAACTGGAGGATCCAAGAGTAATAAACCCCACAGTGACGACCCGAAACTGCACTCCTATGGCGCAGCGCTAAGACAGGAGCCCCCCGCTGGCCAAGCCGAATGGAGACCCCACCCATCAACTTCACGCAGGGAACGTTCCGAAACACAATCCTTTTCATGCAAAGAACCTGGAAAGTGAGAAGGCTCAGCAACGCGTGTATGTCTCAAACCCTTGGAAATTACCTACAGACTCAATAATCGCAGCCTTGGCGATAGCAAACTCTGCTTTCTATGTGCAATCTCACACCGCTCTTTGATCCTGTCCGCCAACTCAGCAACGTCATCACCTGCGGCTTCCAGACCTATGGCCAAACCGAGGAAAGCAGCCGTTGCCACACAACTCGACTTGGCAATGTCCGCAAGCGTTTGGGGCGGCATTTTTGACAGGAAATGCAAAGCCGCTGCAAGGATTCTGTATGCAAGGTGTTCCGGCTCCAAAGCTTTTCATAGACAACCAGCTTGAAGAGATTGGCGCGTAAGACTTCCTTGACATCAACTGAATCAGCTGTGTCACTCTCAGCTGCTGTTTGGCAAGCAACATCCTTGTCAATAATTCTGATCTTTTTTCTTGGAGTGTTTAAGACAACTATAGCTGTACAAGCATGAGTCTGATTTTTGCAGAGCGCAGACCGCACCCTCAAGCGACTGGAGACCGTGGGAGACAAGTGGGAGACAAATGGGAGACAAGCGTAAAATCAAGTGGGGGAGACAAGTGTAAAATAATGCGGCCAAAGTACCCACAGCGAACTGGAGATAGCTGGAGACAAATGGGAGACAAGTGTAAAAATCATGCGGCCAAAGCACCCACAGGAGACTGGAGACAGTGGGGCGCAAGTGGGAGACAAGTGTAAGATCATGCGGCCAGAGCACCCACAAGGGACTGGAGACAGTGGGAGACAAGCGGGAGACAAATGGGAGACAAGTGTAGAATCAACCAAAAAACAGGGTCACTTGCTGGGAGGCCTTTGAGTCCCACGAACCGAAGAAGCTGGACTCCTTCAGTTTTGCCGCAAAATTACCAAACTTTTGACCTGATGGCTTTTAGACTGGACTGTCCAAAAAAGATCCCCTAGCAAAAGTTCAGTGACCTGCAAGTGATCCACACACCTTGTGGAGGGGTATTATAAGCATCCACCAGTCGTACAATGAACAGAGTGAACCAACTTTCAGCTGGAGATGGATCAGATCTCTCGGTCTGGTCATCAACACTCTGTTCAGACCCTCCGATGCCTCAAACAAACCAAAGCCCGAAAGCGTCCGACGCGTCCACAAACCCGGGCCGAACGGGCGTGGCACGCCGCGGTCCGGACCTGAAAGTCGCCATTCCCAAGAGGCCTAGGGGTCCAAAGCGGAGCCGGTAGTGCTTGGAATGGGACAACCATCGACGAAGTTTTGCTGGATTGGACTGCGGAAGACAAACAAAGGAAGCATCGAACATGTCAGGGGATGAACACCCATCGAAGCGGAGTTTTTATACATCGCCCGATCGGCCCAACCATGCGAAACATGTCAGAAAACACCTTTCTTTGTGAAGCTTTTGACTTGAAGCGCTCAGCACTAGGTGGAACCAGCAACAACACATCATAACACCAGAAAAGCACCTTCAGCTTCGTTCGCTATCGGGTGCTCCCAGTCCCAGTTCTCGATCCGTGATCAACCTCGTAAGCATCGTTAAACACAATACAAGGGATTGAAAACACATGCTTGACCTTGGTTTCTACAACCCTGGGATGTTCTTTCTTCGTTTCGACAAACGGTCAGTGTTTGATGCGGCTGAAACAGCCATCCACAAGCCAAGAGAACGAGCAGAATATGGTCCCTTCTGTGTTTAACCCGTCGAGTTCGGGAACGACCTGGTGACCGGTTTTGCGCTGTACACGTCTATACAATTCTTAGTACAACCAATGGTTCTTTGGGACTCAAAACCTTCAAACAATGGTGTTGATGACCCCAAAACTCTTCCAGTCCCATGGATGGTCCGACTTCTTCCACAACACATGCGGTGCAATGAAGTTCCAGGACCTTCAGTGAGTGACCTAACTTGAGATGCAATCTTTCAAGGAGAGAATCACAAACACTTCGTTAATTAATTTTCCTCTTGGCGGTTTTAACCCACTTGAAACACGTTAGTCAAAGGGTTCAATGATCCAAATACTGTTTCACGTGATCATGTAAACCACCATCTAGTGTTTAAACCATATATAGTACCATACTATACGTGAATAGGAGGCAAATGAAACACCATGAAACACCTATCTAAGACTCATCAGTTGAGGGACTTTCTTTCTTCTCTGGGGATGGCTCAAGACCTGGAGCCCAACCAGTCCATGATGCAGCTTGACGCGCCGCCGGTAGGTTAACCAAACACTCCCAGGTACCCACCCTATGGTGAAGGGCCCTTGGGAAGCACAGGATCTCTCGAGCGCTTGACGCGACGTCGGTAGGTTAACCAATTGCATTCATTCTTCAAACCGGTGTTCAATTCCCTTGTTGGATTAAGCCTCCGGATAGATCTCGAGCGCGTCCACATCATTTCCAAGACCCTAAAGTCTTGGCGCTGCCGACTAAGCTGAGGTCACTCCGTGAACAAGCCGATGCAATCCGCATCATTATTCAATACTTGCAGGGATTTTGTAGCACGCGTTTATACCCGAAATTCCATAAAACTGCGTCTAGCAGTCTCGTTCAAGTTGGCTGGGGACGTACATATACGGGTGGTTTTCCTCTCAGGCCGCAATTCATTAACTCAGATGATACACAGAAGACCCTGCAACTGTATGCAAAGAACTTGGGGATCAAACCACCGTACCATCCATTAGGTCTGGTTCCCATGACTTTGTGTCAGGTTAGGATTACGGTCGATCCCGTTGTCAATTTGGACTATTCTCAGTGTTACCACTTTCGAAAGAAACTTCGAGAGATCTGGAACCGTGGAGGTAATTTGGATGACCTTGTTCCGCCAGCGCCTCCAAATTAGATGCCTAAATTCACTGCCATCGTTCGTATCCATTACCACCTTTGTGCCATGCGGACATTCGGTTTCACATAGTTAGGGTTGGGTATTGCGATGTTTTGCACTTGCCAATTTATTTTGGTGTATGGGTACAACACCCATGCCCGTGGGAATTTCACCTACTCCCAGGTACCCATCAAAACGATGAAGGGCCTTTGGGAAGCGTTTGGGATTGATGCGCAAGTTACGTCGGTAGGTTAACCAAGGTATCCCAGTTTTGACACACGGCCATGTTGAGACCATGGAGTCCAATACTTGTTTGAGTTTCATTGCTAGCTGGCCAACGTCTGGGCTGGCCGAACGTAATCTCTACGTGCGAGCGTGAGACGCAGCAAAGGTACCTGGCTGTGGGATGCTGTGGGAAGGACCAGCGTGAAGCAAACACAAACCACAGGTTGCCATTCCTCAAGCAGATCTTCAAGATAAATGCTAAACGCTGATCATAATATTGTTCCATGTTGTATCTGATCTCCTGTAATCTTTTGAGACGGCGGGTTAACCTTTCCATTTGTTCCACAGACTGGGTAGGAAGGGGTTCGACTGGATTTGCTTAAGGAACCGCCAACAGAGGTTAAGTGACCTTGTACGACACGTCACCTGGGGTACCGAACTAGGATAGTCTAGTTCGGGTTCATTTCAACCTCTGCTGGCGGGTAAAACCCTCCTTCGTGAGAACTGATTCCGTCCAAGGCCGTCGGGTCTTGGAGGGGTTTTCCTCGTCGGATGCGAAAGGACTGATGGGAGATGTTTCAATCGGAGAGCCTGGGAGCCTGGGAGCCTGTCACTGGTGAGACTGGGACCCATCAGAATCTCACAAACCCACGAACTCACCTGGAAAGCTACGTACAAAGAAAACACCTTACTACTGTGAGACTACTCTGGGTCCCAAGACAGTCCTCACATGTCTCAATCAATCCATACCCATCCTGGCCCATCCTGTGGTTCGCACTGCGGGTGGACCCGGCCAACTGGCCATGCATGCAACACAACTGCCAGCAGGTGACTCCCTCAATTTCCCTGGAGAAGAACAAAGGTTTATATGACAGGTTAACGGATAATACCCCAGAAAAATGGTGAAACATGTGTGTTCATTCTTTTCCAGGTGATCCACTGATCTGTCACACACTTCTTTGAACTGCCTGCCACACATTTTTTCGTTTTGGCAGAAGCACATGAAGCATCCAGGACCCAGATTTAATCAAGCATATCATAATATCATATCACACGTTCCCATGATATGATACACCCGATTCCCCGGAACGAATCTCCCCACGCAGGGGATGTCTCGTGTCTTCCACCATTTGCCTCCGTCGATTCTAACACTCCACCATTAGTTTGCTGAAAAAAGGATCGAAAGGCTGGTGCTGGCCTCCACCAAGACCCTCCAAGGGGTGTCTATAGAAAGCTCCTTAATGTAGACTCTTGATTCATAAAGCCTCTCAATTTGATTGAACAGCCTCTTCATATGGGGTGTTTATTAATCAGCGATGTCCGGTTTTGGGAAGAATCTTAGGGTCGATACCAGGTGCCAGGCCTACCTATCCCAGACACGACCGACACGTCTGTGACTGCTATATTTGCCTAGAAAAGGCCTACTGACTGGGAGTGTCTGGGTAGCCATATCATATTCCAGTCCGGAGTGTCTGGGTCGCCAGGCTGTTCGGGGAGTATTCCGTCGACGATCTCCCTCTCTTTTTGAACCCGTGACACGTTCCTGTTCACTGTTCGGGGCATTGTCCCTATCAAACAAAATCAATCAACCAAGAGTAAAATTATATAACAAAAACTATCCCCTAGGGATCCACATTACCTTCTCAGGAGGTTCTTCGGCCCTCCAAGTACATAAATAGTCTCCAATCACCTTCTGAGAAGGTACTTGGATCCCTAGGGTATGATCCTGTCCTCCTGTTGTCCTGTTCCGGTCCAAATTGACCACCTCAACCAAGATCGCCAGACCTTGGCCGGCCGTGTTTCGTGACTCAGCGTCGTGACCCGCCGTGACGCCGCCTCTGAGCAGCTTCATTCTGCAGCAGATGCTCAAAGAACCCGGTCTGGTGAACTCGCCCAAGCATGAGCCTCAGCGGAGCTGGCCGCGACGAAGCGAGCGCCGATTCGGCGCCAGCTTCGGCGACAGCGCCAAGACGACGGGAGCTAAGGCACGATGGGACACGAAAGCGACAATAAGACCTGCATTTGGACTGAACAGAGGCACTGTCAGTCACTGTTTTAAGTAGAATTTGTTTAATTGGTCTTTCCTCCGGGTGCATTGGCTGAGAAACTAAAGAAACATCGAAGACAGAAGACACACATGAGACTGATTCACTATGACATGAATGATGTTCCTTGGTGTCGAGATGTGTCGATGCAAGGAACTCGGTGGGTCCAAATACAAAAGTCCATTTTGCCCGGGGTTTCCTCGGATGTAATTATGCCACAACAAACAAAACAAACAGAGAACTGGACATTGATTGTAGAGAACCCTACTGCAGCTTGCAAGAGCTCCCACGAAAGGAACTCCTTCAGTGTACATGAAAGAGATCTTTCACAATGAAATGGACTGTTCTAACCATAACGCATGCACTCTGGTCAATTGTGGTACCATGCCCTTCGCCCCACGCCCATCGGTCTCTGGGCCGTTGCATCGGTCTCCCCGCTTCTGCTTGGGGTTCACCGGCACCGTCCGTGCTTCCGAGGGGATTTGAGAGACCTCGGCAGGCGATCGCTGGACTGATCCGTCCAACGGTCGGCGGTGGTTCAACAAGCAGTTTCTTCTTAATGGTCTCTAGCAAAACAACCAGTGGTTCAATGATGTTTTGCCAAGGATATTAGACTACAAAACCAAATCATCGGTCTTTGAAGGCCAGGGTAAATACAACCCCGATATTGGCTGCTTGAGGTCAAGCCGCCTAGCCATTCGGCAAGGAGGGCCGACCGATCCAAACCTTCTGACCCATTGGGCTGGCCCTCCGAAGCGTGCTTGGGTGGACCTCCCTACCGAGAATGCGGGCCCCAAACGGGTAACATGGTGGACGAACCATGGTGAATACATATATATATATAGAACCCTTCATGTCAGGATCTATCAGGAACCCTGACAATATCACCCTACCACCGAAGGTGAATCTACAGGAACAGACTTGTCTCTCCCAACAAATATATCCCTACAAATCAATGTCTCCGCTTTACTGCGTCGCATTTTCCTCGAAAGTTTCAAGAAAATGTGACTGTCAAAAACTTGTGTTACCTGAAAGTTTTTATCGTCTTTTCCTAAGTTTTTATCGTCTTTAACTTGTTGGCGTTGTATATATATATTTATAATGAAATTGCAACAAATTCCTGGCAGCACGTGTGCGTTTTGGTGGTAATGTTGTTTATCAGTTTTCTGCAGCACTGTCATGACTCCAAACCGACCTGTTCGTGCAACAATCCCGCGATATAGTTGTGCCAGCTTAGCTTGCTGGCATAGCTACATGTGTGCCTCTACCGTGACTGTAGCGTGACTCCCCCCCCCTTACTCGAAGTTTTCTTCAAAAAAAAACTTTCAACAGGCCAGCTTTTTATATAAACAACTTGGACTCGAACGTGTTTAGCGTGACTCTAGCGTGACTCTAGCGTGACTGTAGCGTGACTCTGGCCCCTGCAACATTTTGCCAAGAAGAGATTGGCACGTGTGGATGTTTACAAGGCATGGCGCAGGTAAAAAGGCGCTATTGAACTTGCTTTTTGGTTGAAACATGTGCTGCCAGGACTTATTTAAAGACATATATAACAAAACTTTTAACGAAACTGTCCCCTCGAAGTTTTTGAGCGTCGAATAAAATGTGATGCCGTAAAACTGCGTCGCATTTCCTACATTCAAGTTAAACTGCGTCGTTGCATGTGTAGGGTATTGTATAGTCTGTATGTATGGTGATGGCTACAGTACCGTACAATGTTGTGGGCCTTGTGGGCAATCTTCCCTCCAATCATGGACGTGGACTGTGCATTCCAAAGAACAAACGACTTTGCTCTACAAAACAGGCCGATGAGGGAATACTATTATATAGAGGTTGGAGGCCATCGCCATTAGTAAAGAAGCCCTACAAACAAAATAAAACTCCACTAAACCGCGCTTCCAGGGGATAGATCTAGACTTAACACGAAACCGCGCGTTCAGCGCGACCGTCACCATCGATCCTTTTCTCCGATTCCGCGCAGAATTCCGCTTCGGCGGCTCTGGCGGCGGTCGCGTAGCTCCCCGCTGCTCCTCAGTTGCGAACCAAACGAGCACTGGATCCAGTTTATATTTAAACATACATGTCGTTCCTGCTTGTATTGTTGTTGCTGGTGCTTTTAATTTGTTCTGCTGTTCTTCAAACATTCAAATCCAGATCGTTTGTCTTTTGTTGTTTATTATTGGCCTGTTGTTCTTTCTTTCACTGATCAAGTGATCCGAATATTCAAGGCCCCAACCCAGCTCCAAACGCACCCACGGACCTTCGCATCCTGTTTTGGCCGTTCAATGCTCTGCAAAGTGGCAAACAAATCCCCAAACAATCCATGTAGCTGGAATATCTATGCTTGGGCTCAGACTGCTTCCAGGATCGTTCCAGGATCATCGTGTAGCAAATATTCCAGACATGGAAAGTCGGTGACTTGCATCATCAACCAGACGCATGCAATATGTGTGACTTGTCACTACACACTCTTTACCGTATCCAAAGGCTCAGAGTTAGGACCCTCAGTTTGCTGGAGGACACCCACAACGAACGGGTGCAATGGACCCTTCACCAACAGCAGCTGGTTCTGGTAGTCTCTGTCCACAAGTTTTCAGAGCATTAGCACAAATATAGAATGCTTCATGTGGTGGATACCGTTGAAGACCGAAGAAAGGCCATCTTTAGCGCGCCGACCCGTCTCATAGCTTTGGGGCCAGGAGCAGTGATAAGTACGGCCCCATATATAAAGACCCGTGCCTTCCAAGACCTTTAAAAGAGTTCAGTTGACCTGTTGTTGTAGTGAACATTCTTTACGTAGAACAATGGTTGTTCGGTATTCAAACCATTAAGTCAATGGTTGGCCAGGAAGCCTATAGGGTTTTCTTGGCTTCAGGCTTGGTTCACACCCCTGACGAGGAAGAGTCTAACGCTCCGAGACTTATAAACTGACTTCATAGTATTTCATATAGTAACCTTGACTTCCAAAAGGCAAAAGGAAGAAGCAAAAACAGAATCCATTCACAAGGACATGCGGCTGGTGTTCGAGGAGTCAACAGCACATGCATCGCGGGGCATCGTGCTGATTCTAATTGGTACGATATTGAAACAGTCGAACCACCTACACAAAAGCTTCGCTCCAGACTCCGTCGGAAGCAAAACTGGACTACTGCTTAAAAAGAGAACCCTGATCTGGCACCGCCAACGCACACCATGCCAACGCTAGACCTGCGACCTGCTTCCTGGCAAAAGCACTGATGCTGCATGCTGGACTACTCGTTCCCTTCGCATACCGCCGCCCGACCACCTGGACCCACCGTCCGGAGGATTTCGGAACTTGACATGCAGATCCCAGGACCTTCAGTCAGTGAAGGTCCTGAGATCGGGATGACCTTCAGTCACGGACGCATCTATGTCTCTATGTCCTGCAGGGAATCCTATATCACACCGGGAATTCTTCACATCCTTGCACATCTGCATCTTCAATCTTTGGTCTTCGGCATGAACCATGGCGTGTTAAGGTGTGTTTCAACTGAACTCACTCACCTCGCGGCCGAACTCGCTCGGTGACCTGACTCGGAGGATCTGGATGGACTCCCGAGCAAATCCCGAGGAACATAGTACCTTGGTCTCCACAATCCTCAAGTTTGCTGGTTTCATGTGGACTACCCCATACAGATGACAGACATCTTGGAGCCAGTGCTGCCATCTGAAACAATGGTGCCCAAGCGAGCGACAGCTGGACCCGACTCCCTTGGGATCGGACGGAAATCCGAGGGGTTCTCACCAATGGGCCTGGGGGTCAAACGAGGGACCAGTCGTCCTGTGAACCCACCGCGTTTGGGTTTCTCACCGATTCTTCGGGACCTGTGCCCAATACCCCAAACAGGTGGACTTGCTGTGCCATGGCACTCCACCTATCTCAAACACTCCATATGGAACTGGAACAAACAGCGAGTTCGATGCTCAGTGGGGATTGGACTCCGTTGGGGGATGGTTTTCTGTCGTTCCGCATCCACAGCAGTTCTTGACCGAAGTGGCAGATTCGGCGCCAGGACCAGGGCCACGACTACGCCGACGTGTCTCAGACTTCGCCGACGTCAGCAGCTTCCACATCAAAAACCGTGGGAATGGGGTGTTCCCTAATCTTCCTGGACCCCGACTGACCCACCTTAGAAAATGAGACATGACCCAAACAAACAACTGGTACTTCCGCTCATCTTCTGAGGTAAGAACGTGTCGACTCCAGGTTCTTTTAGTGAGAATACCCACCCAACAAGGTTCGGCTGCACAGCCTGCGCAGCGAAACCAATACGTGGCGGCGTGCTGAGAAGAGTGGGAGATCGCAGTCCAGCAGACCTGGTGATTTTGATTGTTCCCAGACGCTCCAAACAGCCGTTGGTCCCTGAAAGCCTACTGATTTGAGACCCCAGACCCCTCACATGAGGGTCCAGGGTCGTGTCTGGGTTGAGTAATTCCCAGGCTCAATCGTGATCATGAGGGTATGACTGGGTTGGTACGAGTACCCGGTCAATTCATACTCAGGCAACACTAACTATAACCTTCCGGTTACCGTCCTTCCGGCTCGAACAGGGGACGTGACCCGAACCAAACAACAGGTAGGTATAGTAGGACTGCACCCCATTAGTTACTGTAATGGGTCTTTCCCACATTGGAAACATATGCAATATATGATATACATGTCCGATTGGATATATCATTGTCCTTTAAAACCTATGCATTAGACATGGAAACGAAGGTTATAAACAATCACTGACTGGAGATCTACGTAAACACAGGCTGCTTCTCTTCTCCTGAGGTCTCCTGCACCATGGTGTGACCAAACAAAGCCAACGAGGCCTTGGTTTTCACCGGATGCGAAGCTTTTCGCAACGGATGCGAAGCTTATCGCAACGGATGCAAAGCTTTTCGCAGCTTCTCTGCTTGTGCACTGCCTGAACCACCCCAACTCTTTAAAACCTGGCAGCAATCAAAGTAAAACAGCTGACCTCCAAAAAACAAACTCTAGCAGGGCCATGAAAACAACACATCCGGTTATAGTCCCTAAATCCCCTACTGTCACAACCCAATCGACAGTCATCCATAACCTCCTGTCTCGTCATCTTAACCATGTTGTTTCTTGTTGCTGCTGATCGTGCCACCTCCCTGACACTCTGTGTCTGCACCTACACACCACTTGGGGTGGTGGTTGCATATATATATATATAGATTGTCCACCCATGAATTGTCAGGGATATAGTCCTGGCTTCTCTCAGTGTTTAAACGTTGCTGGGTGTTTAATCAATTCTGTCTGAACGCTTGTTGGGACTTGCACGCATCTGGGACCCTAACCTTTGGCATTCGTTCTTAATGACACTTTGTTGCGACTGCAACAGTCGCGGCTTTTGTTGTGTTTCAATGCAACTGAGAAACATATCATGCAAGTACGGAAAGGCCCAGAATGTGTTGACTGCATCACAATTTGTTTTTGGGTTCTCCATCTACTGAGGTGATGTCTTCCTTCATTATGAGTAGTCAATATTAGGAAATTCCCCATGGACCTAATTAGCAGCGTAAATCACATTCACCTCCTTCAAAGTTGCACGCCAGTAACCCTTCTGGGAGGGTTGGCAGTTCTTCTGAAGTAGTTATACAGTGAAAATGTGTGCTGAATGTCTCTTGATCTTCTCTCACTCTAAAGCATGTTCTTCCTGCAATTCTCACTTTTCAGAATCCTGTGTGTGCGGCTGGAAGACTGCCATTGTTGGTCAAGTTTACTCATAGTCGTTCCATTGCAAAAAGAAGACGCCTAAACGGTGTCAGGCACAAACAAAACACTTCACCCTACTAGCTGGTGAGTTTTGACATGTTATGAACTCTCTTTCTTGGGCGAACAGTCAGACAGTGGCCGTACAGTCAGGCACAGCGTTCTCTGTCAAGCGGTTTGGCCGATGTCAAACGGGCCCGCTTTGGCTCGCTTGAAATATCGCTGGTTTGCTCCTCCAATGGCTTGGACCATATCCTGGCAAGAATTCATGTCCTCACCGCCCAAACAAATGTGCCTCTCATGATTTTTGATGGTCGTTTTGGGCTGCGTTTGGTCCTAACATGTCCTACCAATATGTTCAGGATGTTTATGTTTTGCACCAAGGATTGTATCTTGATAGAAACAAACAAGTAATTAATTTGAATTAGCTGGCTATCTACTAATATGTAGTTGATCGATTGGAATCTCATAAACAACTGGCAACGTACAGCTCCAGTCGAAGTCCAACCTCCAAACTGCCGTACAGGACTTCGCACATCTCCACAGAGCAACTCAGCTAGTCAAAGCGAGAAAACCTTTCTCCGACGGCTTTTCTCGGTTCGCATGACAGGTGGATCCCAGTGAACACGTGTTTTTGTTCAGGAACCAAGACTTCTAGGTCTGTGGCTTTAAACTTTGGAACCACTGGTTAACACGTCTCGTGGTCGATGGATTCAAAGGATGGCATTGCACCACAAAGCTCCAGTCCTTCGAATTCCTCTGAATTCGGGCGGCCGTCCGCACGCACAGGTGCAGGATGCTGCAGGATGCCGGTTTCAGGTGGATCTTCAGGTGTGTCACTTTTCCAGGGGAAACGAAGCAGCTCACGTCGACTGCCGACTGACCGAGCAAACTCCCGGGTCCACACGAAAAACCACCCACGCCCGTGGGTCATGTCACCGAAAAACCCACCACGGGTCGAACGAACAGGTTTTGATCAATGGCTCTATGATGCTCTATGCACTGCAGGCTTTCCACGGAACGTGAGTGGAATATGAGAAATCCGCAGGTCCGCTAAGCTCTTGGACCCCGAAACACGTAACAAAAACACTGCAGGCTTTCCGCAACCGCTGAAGTGGTGCTTTCTATGACGTTTGCAGATTCAAGTCTTCCTATTCTTCCTACCCAGTGAAGGTTCGTGTGCATCTGCACCAAACAGGTGTTCGTTCGTTCGCTTCACCAGGAAGGAACACATGGGAGTGACGGGTGGGGTTTCGAAAACTCGTCCCTCACTCGTCCCATCGA